GTTGCTTTGCTCGCCGCTGACGTTGGCAACGGGCAGGGCCCGCAGGGCAAGAAGCAGCGCGACACAGAGTTTGACTGGGCGGCGCATGTGGCGCGCCTCACCGCTGCTGAGTTCAAGCTGCGCTACCGCCTGACGGCCGAGGCCTTTTACCGGCTGCTTGCCCGCATCAAGCCGCACTTGTGTGTGAGTGAGAAGCAGGCACTCTGCAGCAAGGGCACGCTGATCGAGCCGGCGACCAAGCTGGCCATGTCCCTCCGCTTCCTGGCCGGCGGTGCGGTGCTCGACATCAAGCTTATCTACCACGTGAGCAAGTCCATGGTGTTCCACTGCCTGTGGCTCGTGGTCGACGCCATCAACCTGACGTACCCGATCGAGTTCCCAATCGACGATGTGGAAAGGTTGAAGGTGTATGTTCGACCTGTGAGACCTCGTCTCCAGGCCGCACATACATTGTGAGTCTTGCTGCTTGATTTGCGGCAGGTGTTGGAGGCCGAGTTCGCTTCGCACCGCACGGATCGTGTGTGGCGCGGGCAGGTAGCAGCTATCGATGGCGTCATCTTCAAGATGGTCAACCCCGGCTGCGCTGTGCCCAACCCCGGCGCGTACTTTGTGGCGCGAAAGGACGAGTTTGGCCTGCTCTGCATCGCCACGTGCGACTACCACCGGCGCTTCCTGTCGTACGACATCAGCCAGGCGTCAACTACGCATGACTCAATGGCGCACGCTGCCTCGGAGCTGGGCAAGCTGCTCGCCTCCGGCCGGCTGCACCCCGATTTTTTCATTAATGGCGACTCGGCGTTTACACGGGCGCCACACATGGTTATCCCGGGGGGAGGCGACGCGTACGACTATGTGCAGTCCAGCACACGCATGCCCATCGAGTGTGCCTTTGGCATCCTCGTGCGCCGCTGGGGTGTCCTCTGGCGCCCCCTGTCTGTGCGGTTTGATAGGCGCGCTCCGCTCATCGGCGCGTGCATGCGGCTGCACAATCTGTGCATCGACGAGCGCATCACCGAAGAGACCTGCTTCAAGAACGGCCTCGGCGAGGTCCAGCCAGGCCGCTGGGAGCGCGTGCCCAAGTTCGACCGGGAGGGGCGACCCGTGGAGTACCTCGACACGGCTGCCGCAAATGCACCTCCTCCCGAGCCTCGCATGCGCCGCGCTGTTGCTGCGGACGCGGGGAAACGGCGTCAGGAGGCACTCGCTCAGGCGATCCGCAACGCGGGCATTGCCCGGCCTGCGCTGCAGCACGGTCTGCGCAAGAAGAAGCGCCGCCGGCGCGCAGCCGTTGCAGCCCGCTCGTAGGTTGTGTCCTGTGTGCGAGGTCGCGAGCCACCAAGAAGCAAGATGCACACCTGCGCGCGTCGGGCGCGGGAGAGAGTGCGATCGGTCGCCCGTCGCTCGAGCCGCACGCGGGAGCGACCAGAATACTCGCCGGATGGCCCATTTAGGGCCGCGAGCCTGCGGCGAGAGGGGCAAAGGTGCGGGAGGTTCCTCGTGATGGGTTGCTCGAGAGCGGCACAATCGGCCCTGGGCTGACCCTGGGGACGGATCAGGGCGGCACTCCACACGAGAGCGGGTTCGGCACGCCTCGGGCTGTCGCAGGCCCTCGCTGCGGCGCGCCTCGGGCTGTCGCCGGTCCTCGCTTCGACTGCCATGCCTCGGCGCTACCGAATGCGCTTACGCAAGCAAGCCACAGCGTGCGGGAGGAAGGGGTGCACATGCTGGCGCACCCCACGCCCGATCACAGCGCCGCGAGGAGCGAGTACGGCGGAGACGGCTGGTCCCGACCAGGGCGAGCGCGATTCCACCCAGGCAGGCCCCGGCGGCCCACAACGCGCGAAGGGCCGAAGGGACGGAAGTTTTAGCTATAGATGTCGCCGCCAACTATAGCCAAATTTTAGGATTGGCGCGAACTGCCGTCTATAGGAGGTGGACGGATGAGAAAGAAATAGGTCAAGCTATCCCAGAAAGAGAAGCGGGCGCGCAATCCACCTGAATAAAATAAAAACGGACACCGCCAAAGCCCCACTCGCACTCTAGCTAGCAGGCGCCGAGGCCGCAGCGCGCGTTGGAGGCGTGGTGTGCCGCCTCCTCCCGCGCGATCTCGCTATCGCTATCCTCCTCCTCACTCTCCTCACCCTCCTCCCCACTCTCCTCGCCACTCTCCTCCTCCGCGGCGGCGGTGGTGGTGGAGCGAGGCTGCTGCTCAGCAGAGGGCGCAGCACGCGCAGCGGGCGGGTCGACAAAGGTCGGCTCGGGCATATCCTCCTCGAGCTTGTCCAGCTGCTCAGTGAGACGCTTTGCCTTCGCCACAAGCCGACCGGGCACCTCCTCGCCGCGAGCCTCGTACTCCGCGATGGACTTCTTGGTCTGGCGAAGTGCCTCCTCGTAAACCGTCTCGAGCTGCGATCAGAGCAGGAGGGACGGGGCTGGGATGGGCTGGGGATGTGCGCAACGGTTGGGTGGAAGGGGAGGGAGGCGCACCTCCATCTTTCCCCGATGCGCCTGCATTCTCGCGGACTCGGCAACGAAAAAGTCGAACCGCTGCTCCTGCACCGTCTTGGCCCTCGCCGTGACCTGCACCGGCGCGACCTGCGCTGGCTCCTTTAGCGCCCGCAGCAGCTCAAGCTGCATGTTTGCGCGCTTGTCGTTCCTGCCTTTGGGGAGAGGGTCCGACGCGCGCCGCTTGCTCGTGCCGTGGTGGCCAGTTCCCGGGGGCATGTCCTGCACAGCGGATTTGAGAAGGTCGTACGAGATGAGGACGCAGTAGAAGTAGAGCAAGGCCGCATCATCGTGCACAAAGTTGCGGAAGTTGTTCGAGTAGACCTTGGTGCTGTCCTCGGCGAGCTTGTCCGGGTCGGCGCAATCGCCCATGCCTGACGTGCGGAAGTTGTGCAGCGCCTTCATGAGCAAGGTGCGCGCCTCCTTGAACTTGGCCGCGAGCTTCGGCGCATCCATGATCAAGCCGTTGTAGGTCGGGTCGAGCGACGCCTCCTCGAACATGTCGCTGTCGAAAGCGCTGACGTGTCCGACCAACGACTGGGACACCAGCTGGCGCAGCAGATAGCAGAGGAAGCAGAGGAAGAGGAGCTCTACTGCCGCTTCGAGCGCCGTGGCGACGACTCCGTACCGACGACGGGTGGGACAACTACCAGTGTCCAGTGAGGAGGAGGAGGACGAGGATGGCCATGCTGCTGTGCAGGGCGTGGCTGGGAAGGTGAACGAGCCGCTCGAGGGGAGCGGGACGAGTCGGCTCGTGTCACCGGTGGAGGATTCAGTATGCCGCAGGCGGCTCCCACCTCGATGGGTTATCACTCCGAGGGCCCAACTTCAGAATCGTGCTTTGAGTTGGGTTGTTTCGTGTTGGGTTGGGTTGTGGTGGGGTTGGGTTGTTCCGCGTGAGGTTGGGTCGTCGGCGCGAATGGTGAGGTCTCGACCGCCGCCGCTCACGCCAGCGGACGGCCACCATCGGTGTTTTTGGCTTCGCCACCGTCCAAGGCGTGCGCCATGCGCTCGCCGGCATCGAGCGAGCAACGTGATCGACCGAGCGGCTTGCTGTGTGGACGCCTTCTTCTGGCTCTCGTCGAGAGCGTTTTGCGTCCCGGCGGGAGAATATATGTCGTCTGATGTGTCACTGTGTGCGTCACATCGGTCTTTATAACAAGCACGGTCGATCCGTCGAAGCGATACACTCGTTCCTATCACGCTGGAAGGCTTGCATGGAGCTCTGCGCCGGCACACAGAAGAGCCGTGCGGCAAGAGAAGAGCTCGATGGGGAGCGAGAACCGTCAGATTTTCAGGTGTAACCTGAAGTCCGTCGCGATGCACTCAATCCCTCCCGAGCGAAAGCCTGTGGCTCTCTCGAACTCGTCGATATATTGCGGATAAACTGCTCTTCCCGCATAGCTTGCAGAGTCAGAGGCGCAGAAAGGCTGCGAGTGCTCGACGAGTCTTGCGAGCTGCGCGGTCAAACCTGGGGGGAACTGACCGCATCAAGGCGGACTTCCGAAACCTGGGTGAGCACCTCTGACGGTTCTCGCTCCCCATCGAGCTCTTCTTGCCGCACGGCTCTTGCTGTGTGCCGGCACAGAGCTCCGTGCCAGCCTTCCAGCGTGATAGGAACGAGTGTATCGCTTCGACGGATCGACCGTGCTTGTTATAAAGACCGATGTGACGCACACAGTGACACATCAGACGACACATATTCTCCCACCCGCCGGGACGCAAAACGCTCTCGACGAGAGCCAGAAGAAGGCGTCCACACAGCAAGCCGCTCGGTCGATCACGTTGCTCGCTCGATGCCGGCGAGCGCATGGCGCACGCCTTGGACGGTGGCGAAGCCAAAAACACCGATGGTGGCCGTCCGCTGGCGTGAGCGGCGGCGGTCGAGACCTCACCATTCGCGCCGACGACCCAACCTCACGCGGAACAACCCAACCCGGGCCAACAACCCAACCCAAAAAGCACGATTCTGAAGTTGGGCCCTCACTCCTGCGACTGCATCGAAGAGGGCTTCAACATTCAGCAAACAGGAATCGAGGGGGACCGCATGTCTGCTTCAGACGTGTCAAATCCGTCCCGATCGTGACCAACCAAAGCCATCCCTCTTCTCAGATCAGTGCTTGCACCGATCCTGAATCCTCTGCCGCTCCCAGCCGTGCTCGCCGAGCCTCCCCGCCTCCACCTCCGCCTTTGTCAATCTCAATGTCCCACCCCCCTGCGCGCGGGCCTTCTAGGCCCGCGGGTAGTCTCCCCCATCCCCAGGGCCTCCAGGGCTCGCACCTCAACCTCTCATAGACCAGCGCAAGGCGCCGTATTTTTCCCCCTTGTTCAACAAGGACTGTGAACGGCTGGGACCCCGTGTTGCATGTCACTGTCATCACTGTGCGATTTCGGGGCCCGGGGTTGTGCGTTTACGTGAACGGCGTGTGTGTGTTTTAGTGAACGGCGATGCATGTCACTGTGCGATTCGGGGTTGTGCGTTTACGTGAACGGCGATGGCCAAGTTCACGCACGGTCCTCTGCTCTCTCCCTCTGACGCCACCAGCGCGTACGACGCCGGCGCCGTTGACTCGGGCACCTGCATCACGCTCCCGAGCGGCGGGAGCACGCCGTCTCCTGCCACCGTCCCCGCCGTCTCCTGCCTGCCGTCGCTGGTCTGCGTTGGGATGGCCAAGGCGGGCACCGACGAGCTGCGCGGCTGGCTGAGCCTGCACCCCAACCTCTCCTCCTCCACCGACCGCGAAGTCCAGTACTTCAACCACGGCATCTTTCGCGCGATGCCGGGCGGGGTCGTCGGCCCGGTCCACCACCGCTCGCTCCTCGAGGCCGCCTTGCGCACGTCGTGGAGCGAGTACGCCGCCCGCTTCCCCGTGCCGCGCGAGCACATCGGCCGGGTCCTCACCTTTGAAAAGTCGCCCGGCTACGCGCGGCCACAGCACAACCTGAGCCGCGTCGCGAACGGCATCGAGCGGCACGTGCCCTTCCTCATGCGCCGGCTGATGCCGAGCGTGCTCTCCATCATGACGCACCGCCGGCTGCCTCACATCTCCCCCATATCCATATCTCCCCATATTCCCCATAGGTGCGGCTCGTCCTCCTGCTCCGCGATCCGGTCGCCCTCGTCCGATCGCGCTTCGTGCACTGCCTCCGCCAGGCCGGCCGCCAGCGCAGGCCGCCGCTGCCGAGCTGCGGCGGCGCCGTCGAGCGCGACTACGAGTCGATGCTGACCGCGGGGGCCGGCTTGCTGCGGCTCGAGCCGGGCGGTGCGGCGGGCGGCTCGCCGCTGCGGCCAGTCGCGGTGGCGAGGGACGCCGAGGCGCTGTACGCCCTGAGGATGGCCCCAGGCGACACACGCGCGCGCACCCTGCCCTGAGATAGGTGTGGCTGGGATGTGGAGGCTCTCTGACTCGCAGACTGAGTCTTGTGGCCCCGCACTGACTCCGCCTCTCTCACGCCCCGCCACCTCTCGCCTGCACCCCCGCCCCCGCACCTCGGCCCGTGTTGCGTCTCTCTCCGCACAGGCTCCATCCCCCTCGTGCTCGACTGTGCTTCGTATTTGTTGGACGGATTGCACATGTATTACATATGGTCGGCAGGCTCCATCCCCCTCGTGCTCGACTACTCCGCGGTCATCTCCGCCTGGCTCGCCGCCTTCCCGCCCGACGCCCTCCTCGTCGGCTTCACCGAGGAGCTCGCCTCCTCCGCGCTCCGGCCCCCTCCTCCCTCCTCCAACGAGCGATTAATTAATGAAGCGATTGCTATAGGAGTTCGCCTCCGGCCCCTCCTCCCTCCTCAACCGGGTCCTCGCGCACGCGGGCCTGCAGCGCCACGACTGGCGCGCGAGCGGCTACCCCGGACCAGACGGCTCCCTCACCTTCCACCCTCGCAAGTCGAAGAGCGTCCGCGAGCGCGCCAGCCGCCGACCCCTCCTGCCCGGCTTCGAGGCGGCGACGCGGGACGCTCTCACGCCGGTCCTTATTCGCTTCCGCACGCAGCACCCGTGCCTCCGGCCGCCGTGGCCGCTGGGGAGCGCAACGAGCGCCGCCTCGGGCCCCACCGACCGCGCCGACACCTCGCCGCTCTGTCGCGCCCGAGGCGCCCGCACACACGCAGCGCCGCAATAAAGAACACCTCAGACATATGTGTGACCGGCGTTGTGTCTTGTCTGTGGACGCCTAAAAAGTGTGAAGCGGAGGCACACACATCTCACATGTTGAAAATTCCAAAATGCAAAAAAGAACCCGGCTCCCGGGTGATTCTAGATTCGTCTTTCATGATTCATGAAAACATAGGGGAACCCAAGCGTATGTGTTCTCACGTCTCAGAGTGCAAGCCAGGAGCCAGCGTCGTCGACGATCGAGCGAGCCAGCGGCGAGTCCGCACACTGCGTGAACCCCAGCTGTCGGCACCGGGAGACATCCCATAGAATTAGGTCGGGGATCCGCAGCGTCCTAATCTCTAAAACCTTTGCGCTTTGGATTCAGGCAGGGGTTGAAGAAGCATCGCTTCAGTGAGGTCAAAGTGAGTTTTATGGATGGGTAAGAACGGTGCGGAGCACGAGGAGGCACGCGACTCGTTGGTGACTCTGCTCACTGCTGCACGCCGCTTCAGATTTTTTCTCAGCGTGAGCGAGACGTGTAAGTGCGCCACCGTCGGGTAGGACGGGTCGCCCGGAGCATCAGAGTAGCCGTCATGGTCGCGGCGAGCAGCGCCGGCCACTCCGGCTGTCCGGCCGAGCCGGCACCGTGGGAGCATGTCCACCGCCACTTCTTCGCGGTCCTGTTTGTCGCCGAAACGCCGGTGCCTACAGTTGTACTACTACCACGGGAATTCTTTCGCCCCGCGAACAACACTGCCTCCTGTATCGGGGTAATGGGGGGTTTACGAGGTGTGAACGTGAACAGAGTAGCCAGATCGCTGTCGATCGTTACGGCACGCATGGGGGGCCTCCCGGACGTATGATCCTAGCCCAATAAGCGCCACGGAGCAGATTTGGATTTTTGACAGAATTAAATGCACTGCCCCCGCACGGTACTAACGATCGTAGTTTTGGGGGCGGCGCCCCTCACGGCACCACACTGACGCAGGACAGCCCGAGATTAGCCTAGCAGTGACTGGGAATCGCCTGCCGGTCGGCTTGGCATGAGCCAAGCACTTGGGTGGCCGTCAACCGAGTCCGAGCGGCGCCTGAGGTGGGTGCCACGGCGTCCGCACGAAGGCGTGGCGGGGTGAGGAGCCAGGGGTGGTGAACACCTCCCCGACGGGCGCGCGGCGCGCCGGATGGTCCGCCGAGGCCGCCGCCGCCCCGGCGGCGGCGATGGGGGCGGCGGCGCCGACCCGGCCGGCGTTTGTCGGCTCCACCTACAGAAGAGCAGTCTCTGTGGGTCGACGATACTAACTCGGTAGTAACGCTGAGCGGTGCTGTGCGACGCCGCGTCGTGCGCGAGGCGACCTCCTGAGGCTACCTGAGCTGGCAATGGATGCCACCAGGACGCACGGCTAGCAGGAGCCAGTCGGGCATGCCCTGCTGTGGAGCAGAGCCTGCTGGCGCACCGGCGATACTAACTCAGCGTGCCGCGAGAGGCGAATCTGGGCGACTTTGGAGGCGCAGTTCTCGAGGTTGCCGTCGACGATTGATGTCGGGTAACTTGTCACTGCCGTCCGGGAAGCTCTTCTCTCAGCAGGCCGAGCGCCGTGGCATCGCGCGGCTCGCAGCGCTGTCGCGGCGCCGAGAACCCCCAAAACTCGCGAGACCTCGATACTAACAAAGACTACGATACTGGAGGTGCGGGCCGAAAATGAGCGACAGCTTACTAGCCCGCCTCCTCTCGGAGCTGCAGCTCGACCACCACCGCTCACTTCTCGAGGAGGAGGAGCTCACCTTCAGCCTCCTCGCCTCGATGCGAGCCGATCTCCTCGTTGACTCCCTCGCTGAGCTGGGCTTCACGCCGGCGGAGGCACTTCGACTGCAGGAAGGTCTGGCGCGGCCTCCACATTCGGCAGCGCCATCGCCGCCTGATCCTCCTCCCTCTCCGATCACACTGGACCCGCCACCACCCGTGGAGCCGGCCGCTGCGGCGCCGGCACCGCCGCAGCCTCCGCCGCTGGCGCCGGACGCCGCCGCCACCGCAGAGGAGCGGCTGCGCTCGCGCTTCGCGGAGCTCCTGAGCAGCGGCCTGCCGCCCGCAGAGGCTGCGGCGCGCGCGCTCGAGCAGCTGCAGTCCGAGGCTTCCCACGCAGCCTCCGCCGCGGCCGCCGCCGATGGGCCTCCGCCCGACCTGCGCGAGCCGCCGCCGGGTCGGCTCGCGGCGGCGGCCGAGGCGGGGCGCAGGCTGGCTGCAGCCGCGCGCGCCGAGGAGGCGCGGCGGGCCGGCGAGGCTGCGGCCGAGGCAGAGGCCGCCGCTTGCCGCGCCCGCGAGGCGGAGAAAGAGGCGCGGAGGAAGCGGGCCGAGTCACTTGCGAGGCGCATCGAGCCACTCGCACGCGCCGCGCCGCCGCCGCCTCGAGACAAGGCGGCGGCGGCCGAGGCGGCGGCGGCGGCGAAGCGCGATGCGGCGAAAGCGGGCCACGCCGCGCCGCGGCGCCTCGCCCCCCCCCCCCCCCCCCAAGGCTTGCGGCGCGCCTCTCGCCTCCCCACCGCCGTGTTGTCCCACCCGCAGGCGTGCAGCGGCAAAGAAGAGTACCGCGTCGCCAGAGGCGGACGAGGCGGCGGCGGCGGCGGGCCGCAGCGAGCGCACCCGCGCACTCGCGACCGAGCGGCGGCAGCGCGAGGCGGAGAAGGCGCTGCTGCTCGCCGAGGCTCGCGCAGACCGCGCGCACAGGCAGGCGCGCAGGCCGTTTGCACCGCCCGAGGCCGCACCGCCCGAGAAGGCCGCGCCAGCTCCGTCCGTGCCGCCGCCGGGAGGCGGTGCAGCTAGAGGGCTTGGCGGCGGCGGCAGCGAGGTTGCGGCAGACGAGGGCGGCGCCGATGCGGCTGGCGGTTGGTCGGCGCTGCACAGCTTGCCCCCGAGCAGCGACGCGTCTGCCCGGCGGGAGCGTTTCTCTGTCCGTCTGCCCGCGGGAGGCGTCGTGCAGGCGGCGTGGCAGGGCGGGAGACCGCCCGTCTGGGCGGTGCTCGGCTTGGCTCGCGGCGGTCCTCAAGCTGTGAACGGCGCCTCGTCACACCTCCGGCTGCGGACAGGTGCTCGGCTGGCTCGCGGCGGTCCTCAAGCTGTGAACGGCGCCTCGTCACACCTCCGGCTGCGGACAGGTGCTCGGCTGGCTCGCGGCGGTCCTCAAGCTGTGAACGGCGCCTCGTCACACCTCCGGCTGCGGACAGGTGCTCGGCTGGCTCGCGGCGGTCCTCAAGCTCGACGTGGACGAGCTCATCGGCAAGTACGCCCTCGTGGACCGCTCCTCGCTGCCGCCGCGCGAGCTCGAGGACGAGGCAGCCACGCTGCGGGCGGCCGGACTCGACGCCGGAGCGACGCTGCTGCTGCAGCCGAGGGCGGGTGGGGCGCCTATGCGGGGCGGCGCGGCGCGGCGCGTGCCGCCACGGCGCGCGCGCAAGAGCGAGGCGCCGTCCCCGTCTCGGAGATGAGGCTGAGAACGGCGCCTCTTCACACCTCCGGCTGTGAACAGGCGCCCGTCTCGGAGATGAGGCTGCCGTCCGGGCCTCGAGGCGAGATGGAGACGGTCGGCCGGCTGTGCGGTTCGTACACCTTCGCCGACGAGGCCTTCCGCAAGGCAGGGATGCTCGTGCTGCTGCATGGCCCGTCGGCGAGCTCGCGCGCCCTCGCACACGATCTGCAGGCGAGGCTGCACTTCCTCTCGCTCGCGTTCGTGCCAGCTTCGGTCCGCCGCCTCGCCGCCGCCGCAGGCAGCGGCGAAGGGGAGGACGACGCGGGAGACGCCGGCTACAGCGCCTTCGGCGGCGACTCGCTCGAGGCGGGTGCCGAGGAGCTACACATCGTGATGCGCTTCCTGCAGGCGCAGCAGCCGGCGCTGCAGGTACTGTCCAGGACATGTCCATGACATGTCCGAGACAATGCCCCGCAGGCGCAGCACCCGGCGCTGCAGGTGCGCGCGCTGCTCGCGCACGGAGGGGTTGCCGACGCGGCGCTCCGCTACGCCGTGCAGTTCGGCCGCGCCGCTTCATGCCCGGTGCGGCGGCTCGTGCTCCTCGGCGCGCCTCACGGCTCGCTCTCCGACGCGCCACCCGAGGCGTGGTCTGTCTTGTCGGTGCACGGGACGGCAGACGGCCACGTGGCGGCGCTGCGGGCAGTGTCCACGACACGCCCATGACGTGTCCGGGACATGTCCTGCAGGCAGACGAACACGTGGCGGTGCTGCGGGCGCGCATGTACCACAGGCAACACTTGGCCGGAGGGAGGCACGGGTTGAGGCTCGTCGACGGCGCGGGCCATTCCTTTGGCGCGGGCGGCGAGGGCGGCGGCGGCGGCGGCGGCCAAGGCGCGGGCGGCAGCGGTCCCGAGATGGTTGCCTCCATAGTCAACGACTGGCTCGAGGGAGCGAGGCGCCTCAACGAGCAAGCTGCGTCGGAGGAGGACGGCGACAACCTCGGCGGCGACAAGCAGGCGGACGACGACGACCTCGCGTTCTACTTTTGAGCTTGTTTTCGCCCCTGGCACACGCCACACCCCGAACCGGCGGCGAACCCCGTGCCCCGCTCGAGAGCCTGAAACGCTCGCTCGAGAACGGCGAACGCGGGAACGGGGACGCACAGTGAGATAGTCGATCTAGAGTCCGACCGGCGAGCGATAGGCAGACACAGCATCAAGTGGGTTTTATTTCTGACTGTCTCGTGTCTGTTTTAACATCTGTCATCTCGACATGCGGGGCAAGACACGACGACTCCACGGTGATCGGTGTGGGCGTGTCAGGCAAAAGGCGCGCGGAAGCCCAAGCCGAAGCTGCAAGCACGGGCCGCGGGGCGGCGGCAACCGCGACAACGCCGGCATCTTCTTCCACAACCGAATCTCTGCCGGCCGTGTGCCTCGCGCGCGGGCGCGACCCGAGCTCGCTGCCTCACTGCGCCGCGGCCGCCGCCGCCTCCTGCAGCTCGACTTTGGCCGCGCGCGCTGCCTGCTGCTCGCGCTGCTGCAGGTTCTGTGCGAGGACGTAGGAGCGGAAGGAGAGGCCCTTTGTCCTCTCGATGACTTGCTGGTACACGTCGGGCGGCTGGGCGCCGAGGATGACGTGGCTAGACTTTGAGTCGATCTTTGCGTTGAGCTGCGCGTCCGAGACCATCTTGACGATCCACTTTTCGGCGGCGATCCGCTCCATGCCTGCGCGGTGGGTGCGCAGACATGAGGGCGGGAAGAGGGGACTGTGGGCCGTCTCCAGGGCACCGCGTGAGTACGAGGGGCTGCGAGAGGCAGTGAGTACGGCGGAGTGCGTGTCCTCTCGAGCGCTGGCTGGAGTACGAGAGGACGTGTGTGCGGATCTAGGGCGGCGTGTGCCAAGCTTCTGCGCGAGGGAGCCGAGGTCGATCCGCTCGTGGATGCGGCAGTAGCCCTCGAAGAGGTGGAGGCGCGCGTACTTGACAAAGTCGCCCTCGGCGTTGCAGAGGAAGAAGTCGGAGTCGAGCGTCGCCGCGCACGCCGCCAGCCGCTCCTGCGCGCTCTCAAAGTTTGCGCTGCCGTAGAGGTCGTCCAGAAAGGACGTGACCTGCGGGTCCGAGTAGGGTGGAGGAAGTGTCTCGGGAGTGTCTCGGAAGTGTTCAGAAAGGACGTGACCTGCGGCGGCGCGGCTGGGTGGGTGGGTGGCGAGTGTGTGTAGGCAGGGGGGGTGGCGGCGGGCGGGCGGCAGTGGTTGTGGGGGTGTCATAAAAAAATACACCGGGTCCGAGTAGGGCGGAGGAGGTGTGTCGGGAGTGTGTCGGGAGTGTGTCGTGTCACACACCGGGTCCGAGTAGGTTGGCCGCTCCATCCCGATGACGCGGACGAGCTCCTTGACGGCGTGCCTGCAGGGAGAGGGGGGAGAGGGGGGGGGGGGGGGGGCCACTGGGTTGGGGGGGCCGGGGGGGGGCCCGGGGGGGGAAAGGGGGGGGGGGGTCCTTTTTCCGGAGCTTTCTTGGGTCGGGGGTTGGGGACCACCGCAACCGCAAATTAACCGAACAAGGGGGGGCAAGTGGTCTGGATCGCGTTGAGGTACTTCTCGCTGAGCAGCAGGTCGGACACCACCGACCGCCTAGCCTCGGGTTCATCTCGGGTCATCTCGGGTGAGCTCGGACAGGAGGGGGTCCGACACCGCCCGCCCGCCCGCTCGGGTGGTTGCCGAGCAGGAAGAGCGCCCAGTGCGAGAGCCACGCGCGCTGCTGCAGCTGCATCACGGCGGGAGTGCTGCCGGACCGCGCCTCGATCGCCTCCTTGAGCGCGCCGAGCTCCTCCAGCGCCGCGTCCCACGCACCGTTCAGGATGTCGCACGCAAGCTTCCCCCACTGTGCCGAGAAGGCCTCGTCGGCAGAGCTGGTCAGCAGCCGGAAACAGCTCAGCATGCTCGCAGCGGCGCCGTAGTTGCCGCAGTCGTAGGTGAACTTGGCGTACTTGCCCAGCGCCGCGACGTGCTCCGCGGTCACGCTGTGCTGCTCCAGCAGGAACGCCGGCGTGAAGCACCGCTCCGCGCGCAGGTTTGCGACGAGCGGCCCGTCCGAGACGATCTGGTACAGCGGGCCAACCTCGAGCTGCAGCGCCGTGAGGGCGGTCATCACCTCGTCGCGCTTCGCCCGCATCTCGGCGGGCACCTCTCCCTGGTTCAGCTTTGTGTAGATCTCCATCGCAAAGTCGACCATGTTTGTCTTCTCCAGCACCTGCAGCCGCGCGGCGTCGAGCTCCGAGTCGGGGAAGATCTTCTTCGATCCCAGGAAGTCGAGCAGGGGCAGGAGCATGTGCCGGTCGAGGTACTTGCCCACGGTAGCCGTCAAGTCCGTGGACGCCATGGCAAGGGGGCGGCGGAGGTGCTGCAGACTGCGTCGCGGGCTGCCTTCAGAAAAGAAAAATCCGTGGGTATACAATTGAAGACGGTCCAACCTCGCCGCGCGCAGAGCATGCCGCTCCCCGACGCGTACAGTAGCGAGATCGGTGTGCGCGAGCGTGGGCGGTTACTGGACCGTGTTACTTAGGAATGGCCGTAGGCGTAGCTCCTCTCCACGAACCACGAGCGATTCAGAAGACGTACCCCAAGTGTCGATTCTGTATAGAATTGTGAGGCGCACACGCTGGTGCAGGCGGCGAGACGTCGATCCGACTCGTTCCCGAATGATATGTTTTCTGCCCGAGTTCACCGAGGTCCTCGTACTCAAAGCGCTCCGGTGGCCATTTGCGAACTCCGACGCACTCTACCCAGCAAGCTCAGCTAGATGTTCTGGGCTATCCGGGGTCCGTCCACAGCCTCACACCCTCCGGCAGCGTGGCTGCGCCCTGCGGCGCGCTCTCCCCACCGCCGCGCATGGAGCCGCCTGCGTGCGAGCCTCGGACCAACGCGGCGACCCGGCCCATCGACGCGCACCCTCGTCCCAGCCTATATCTCGTCCTTTCGGGCCCGCGCCCGCAGCTCCTCCAGCTTCGCCTTGTGCGCGGCCGTCGCGCCCGACGCCTCCTCGTCCTCGTCCTCGTCCTCGTCCTCGTCGTCCTCGTCGTCGGCGTAGTCGATCTCGTCGACGCCCCCCTCCGCCATCTCCGGCTCGTCCATCCCGTCGTCGGCCGACTCGTAGTAGGTTGCAATCTCGTCCTCGCGGTCCTTGAGCAGCTCCGCCATGTCCTCGCTCCTCGCAGAGGCTTTGGCGCCAAAGTCTGCGCGCGGCGGGCGGACGAGGGGCGGGACTGGGTGCGTGGGGTGGGCCGCGTTCGGGCCCGCAGCGGCGGATATGTCGCCACACACCCGCGAGCTCCTCCTCGCCGTCCGGGAAGAACTCGCTCGGCCGCTTGCCGTCGGCGTCCTCGGCGGTCTCGTCGACCTCCAGGTGCGTGAGCAGCGCGAGCACGTCCGAGTTCTTGTACTCGTACGCCCAGAAGAGCGGCCCGCGCCCATCGGCCGAGCGCGCGTGCGCCATGTCGCGGCCGCCCTGAGCGAGCACCTGGATCAGCCCGTCCAGGTCGCTGCTGCTCGTCGTCTCCCACATCTTTGTGAGGGCCGGCGAGTCCGCCCAGTCCTCGCACGCCGCGAGCCCGACGAGGAGCGAGAGGAGAAGGCGCATTTCCGTGAGAGCAGCGGTGAGGAAGGAGCGGCGAAGGAGCGGCCGCGCGATACAAACTCTGATGACGTGTGCGAAAAAAAAGAGGAAAATTCCGTATCATCTCGTTAAATTTCCCTTCCTTGGGTTGTGTGTTTTCTTTCTTTCTTTCTTTCTAAATTTTCCCTAAGTGATTCTCCCGGCCGAGCCTGAAAATTTATTTTACCCGCCCTCGGCCATGTCTTCTTTACTCTCCCGCGCCATCTCCGTCGCCCTGTTCGGCTGCGGCCTTACCACCAAGATCGGGAGGCGGCCAGGGCTCATAGACTCGGTCGAGAGACCCCAGATTGGCATCCATGCCTCTCTGGACAAGTTGGCCCGCCACAACGACCCCTGGAATTGCGACTCGCCGCTTTCCTCCCGCTGTGATTCTGTGTGAGCTCTGTGTCTTGATTTGCCAACAATACACCTAAAACTGAATTGTAGGTTAGGTAGAAAGGTGAAGAACAGCCAGGCTCGGACTGGACACCAACGCGGTATGGGTGGACGCTGGACAGATGTGAGATGATGACGGCACGCACGAGCGACACACAGACACAAACAGGCTCACAATACACACGGCTCGGGTTACACCAATCCTCGCTACCTAACGCGGCCAAAGGATATCCACCTCGAGAACCTCGAGAACACAGCTACTGATTCGAAGGCACAGCTGATCAAACAGGACCACCACGAGCACGCGATGGTCGGACCCAAACGTGAATCAAAGCACGACGTCGACAGCTGCCCTTTTCAACACATGACGCCACTTGTCGTGGCCGGGCTCTATAAGTCGGTGGCCGACGACTACATCGCCGGACGACACGAGGAGGTGTGTGCGGCCATGCTGGCCAAGCCCAACCAAGGAGCTTGGTGCAAAGGGTCCGAGTCCAAAGCCTCACAGCCGGGAGCTCTGGCCGACTGCTAGAGGAGGGACGTGCGGCCGCTGCTATAACAAATTTGTAATTCGCCTCACACAGCGCGCAATTCGTCCCCGCTTGGCCGAACGAACAGCAAAACCAGGCGCGCTGGCTATATAACATAGATCATAGTTGGCACCTTGGAGTGTGCTCCCGCGGCACCGCGCTCGTCGAGTGACGGGCTCTGTACCCGTTCGTTCCCCTATGTGCGCTGTGTGGCAGCCGAGCCCGAGGGCCGCGGACTTACAAAAAGAAAAAGAAGTATTCGCTCCCGACGTACCTTGTAAGTAAGAGGACCTTAGTAAGTAAGCAAGTTGTTCGAACCCACGCTGGTCGAAGGGTGATGGATCTCCGAGAATGCTGGAGGTCTGAAGCTCACCCACTGAGGAAGTGAGGTACTGCTCCGCCCATATCCTGATCCTGCTGACCAAGCTCCTCTTGTAGCTCGATCGGTCACATCGGTTCGCCATCACCGTCGAGGAGAGGGGGGGGGGGGACACTGCTTCGGCAGCGTGCACCTCGATCCTGTACCGTGTTTGTTATGACCCCCCCCCAATGAAAACTCCAGTGAGGGAGGGCGAGACGATCGAGGGGTCCCGTACCGCGCGGAATCGACCCTATCCAGTGCTCAAGTGCTTAAGTAAGCAAGTAAGATAGTACAGCGGTCGGCGGAGTTGTCCCGGAGAAACCCACGGCCACGCGCACGGCCACGGGGCCACGCAAGGCCACTGGGCCGGCAGGATTTTTTTCTGCTTGCACGGCTCTACGACCTCTTTCGTGCGTACATCCTCTCGGAGGACGGCACGGTCAGTCTTGGAGAACCCTGTCCACGCCTGAGGATTCTGCACTAGCGATTCTGCCACCCAAGACAGGATTCTGTATGCGGAGGCTCGAGAGGGATTCGTGTCCGTTTCTTCTGATTCTCACTCTCCTTTTCCGGTTCTGCCTACTCGATCTGATTCTGCCCGTCCCCTTTCCACGCACTCAGCCTCCGGGCAGGATTCCTCACCCAGCTTCCGTTTCTGCCTACTCGATCTGATTCTGTCCGTCCGATTCTCGCCTTATCAGATTCTGTCGCGCGGTTGCGGTTTCTGCCTCCGGATGCCGGAAAGGGAATTTTCCGCGCTGCCCGCCGATTTCTTGGCAACCCGGCCGGACTCTCGTTTCCTGATTCCTGTTTTTGCCCGTCGAGGGGCGGTAGCCCGGCCGGCCGGCCATCTGGGCATGCTCACTCAACCAATCACGCTCATGTGTACGCGCCGTATCCTCCGCGCCACCCACTTTGCCATCGAAGTGCGCTCCGCGCTCCGCACAGTACAGTCACTTTTGAACGGCGGCTCATCACACGTGCGTCAGAGATCTCATGGGCGGTGGCATGGTGGAGCCAGAGCAGTGCGCGGCCGATCTTAATTCTGGGCAGGCGGTCTCCCATTCCCGCGGGCGCTTGGTGCCGGGGTTTGAACGGCATGCCGGCGTCAGATGCAGCTTGGCGCCGGCCTGCGGCGACCCCGCAAGCGTTGGTGCTGCTCAGCGATGCTCACAGCGGCACGTCTGCTCTTTTGCTGTGGGGAGTGCTGTCTGATTGGGTCTCCAAGCCCGCGGGCTCGCTGTGAATGCACCCGCCAGCTAGGCAGCTCCGCGGCGGTGTGGGTGTAGAACGGGTAGGCTGCTGTCTCGTGTCTCGGTGCTCGTACTAAGTCAATGGGAGGAGTGCTTCAATTTCTTCTTCTTATACGCCCAGCTCAAAAGCACGCACGCATCACGACGCCTAGACAGGCGAGACGCGGCGACAGCCGCGGCGAGCTCGTTTTAGAAGCGAGCCGCTCGCGGCGAGCAGTTTTAGAAAAAGGGAAAAGGGGGAGGGTTAGTTTGAACCCGAGCCGAGCTTCGCTCGGCTCCCCCCCGCGCGGGAGCGCCCCCCCCCCCCCCCTCTCCTCGGGGGGGCGGGCAGAGCCCGCACCACACACTGCGCCTTTGCGGACGCCGGACCGAGGCCTAAGCGCTGAGTGCGCTGACGTGAGGCTGGAGCGCCAGAGAGACCCGCGCCTGAGCATGCTGCCGCGGGCGAAGTTTGAGTGAGCTGTGTGAAGCCCCGCGCACACGCAATATCGGCTCAGGAGTTCGGAGAGTCAGGCCAACATAGGATCCCGCCGAAATGCGTAACTCCGAGGAATCAGGAATCAGGAATCAGGAATCAGGAATCAGGAATCAGGAATCAGAATCCCGGTCAAAATGTGGGCGATCCAACAAATCAGGAATCAGGAATCAGGAATCAAATGGAGCATCAAGAATAGGAAGAGAGACAGGAGAATCGGGAGGGGGGAGCAGAATCAGGAATTGGCTCTGGCTGCCCTATAGAATCGGAAAGGAAGCGGAGGAAACGAGAATGGAGAATCAGGAAGCTGAAAGCGGGGCCAAGATGGGAGAGTCTGGGGAGAGAATCAGAATATCTGAGCAGAAGAGGAACCTGGGAAGGGGAATCTAGTGAGAGGTAGAATAGCAAGAATCCTTGTGTAGTAGAGCAGAATAGGAATGGCAGAATCCTTAGGCGCGGACAGACTTCTCCATTACTCGGCACGGTAGTTGGCAGCACCGCTTCGAAAGACGTTAGTCGTTAGACTACGAGTTAGAGCCTAAAGATCAGTAAAGTGTTCGGGTTTTTTGAGACCGAGTCCGAGAGTCTCGAGAGACCAGCACCGCCCCGCCCGGCCAGCGCCCCCTTGCCCTGCACGACTTTGTGTGTGTGTGGAGACGTTTACCTTACCTAACCTTACCCTGCACCGCCTCCAGGCAAGTCGGTGCGAGAGG